CTTGGTGAATCCATGCTGACTGTTCCTACTCACTTTCCTCTCCTCTAAGGGCTTCAGAATTGATTCCTTGAGGACCTGCTCCATGATTTTTCCAGGGACTGAGGTGAGGCTGACTGGCATTGCAATGGTGGTCGTGGTGGGGGAGTGGGGGGAAGAGATACAACACGAACTCTGATTGTCAAGGTAGAAGAGAGAGAGGAGGGAAAAACAATTAATGGCTGGCAAGCTGAGCCATAGTATTTCAAGAGTGTGAGAAGGCTGGGATTGGCTCTGTTAAGGCAGTACAGACTTAAATAACGTTGAGGCTTCTGGTGCCAGACCACTCTTTTTTCAAGGGGAAATGAGTTTCCTCAGAAAAGGAAACTTCAGTTCATGGTGATGTCAAAGAATGTATATTGTTGAGGTCCCCTGATGAATTGGGATCCCATTATATCAGGATTGGAATGGTTACATCCACAGCACAGAAATAGATGCCTAACAGAGTGTTAGCCCAAAACAGTGTAACTATGGTCTACACAGATCAGAAGATGGGCTGTCTGCAGATCACACCCCATCCTGCATCTATCATCGGGTGATTTATTAAGACAGAGGCAGAATAAGATGTAACACACAAATATTTATTATGCCACTAGTCAGTAAATTAGACAAGGACCCCCTTCAGACAATAAACAACATAAGCAAGACACACTCGGTTGTTAACAGTTACCAGAGCATGAAGCTCATAGCCCTTAAACCCTCTTAACCTATGGATGTAAAACAGAGGAAAACCACAATGAGTATTACAATACCATATCCTGAAGACAGGGACACAATCACAAAAACTCAGGATACCGAAAGGGATAGTGGTGAAAATCAGGGGCACAGGACACCAAACTGGAACTCAGGAACTCGGTATTCTTCTCTCTCTGGACAGGTACTCTGGGCAGGTCTACTCCCTCTTGGGCAGATCTTCTCCCTCACATAGGTCTTCAGTGCTTGGCCATGCAGTCTCTGCTTGACCTCGTAGATCAGTGCAAGTATTCACTCACTAATAGTGTGTAGCAGTTGAGTGCAAGTATGTTAATAGAGACCAAGAATCCAAAGTCCTATGAGTCCTAGTCCCTCTGGGGCTCCTCGCAGCTAGCTGAACGGTGTGGGACATTGGCTGCCACTCAGATGGACAGCCCTGAGTGACAGACGTGACACTCACGAAATAACCTGCAGTTGCTAGGCAGATTATGGCTGTCACATGACCCTAACTGCCCTGACCTTTCCCCTCCTTGATTTGAAAAAGGCTGAAAGGGCACTAAATCATCTGAGGAGAAGGGTATCCAAGATGGAGGCTTAGCTGTCCTTTTACAAATCCAAGATGGACATTACATAAAACAGGTCAGAAACAGATTTTACTCAACAAGTGGTGGCCTCCAAATTCGTACAAACATACTGGGGCTCCTGTCAGGAAAGATAATTCTGTGGTGTATCTGTGTGCTAAATGCTTTCTGTTTATGCTTTCCTTTGGGATGAAGTGTATGGGTCACCGGAGTTATGACTTTATGTGTGGGCATCATATAGTGCATTTAGCCCACAAGAGGGTGATCAGTTGCCCCTAGAAGTTTAACAGAGAGACTGCTCTGAGTGGCATAGATGGAGGCGCAATGGAAGGGTTCATGAGAGCCAGTGTTGGGTCTGCAGGTGTTGGGCCCACAGGCAGGCTGCCAGTTCCACTGAAGGTTCACTTCCTTGTCAGTGGCAAGAAAGACCACTGATGCCCCTCTCATACATTTTGATTCCCAGGCAGAAGGCAGCAGACATTGTTGTTGTACACCTGGGTTGGATTTTGTAAAGGGACTAACATAATCATTAAGGAACAGAAATTTAGGGAAATTTCTGTTCAGAATCAGAATTCCCCCCCCTTTCCAGGAGTGACTGCAGACTGGTATGAAATGCTGCAGTGGAGAGACCTCCCCATGTTGGCAATGGCATTTAGGTGTGCCAGAAGAGGTGTGAATCAGGAGGTGGCTAAATCTGTACATGAATGGGGAGGATCAGTGATTACACACCAAAATACCTCATGCTATTTGGTATCCAACTTCTTTAGAGATGATGGGGTACATCTCCAGCTGGAGAGTAGATATATTTTTGGCTGATGCTAGGGAAGGAATTAACTATCTGCGAACCCATCTGTCGGTGTTTGGAGAGGGTAAGGGGGAGAGAGAGACAGATAAGCTAGTTGCTGGCACCTCCTGGTGACAGGTGGCCAATCTAGGTACTCATTACAGATGGGGTCTAGTTACCCAATAAACTTGAATTGGTAGACTTAGGGGAAGGCATCCCCTAACACTGCCGGAGAATGGCTTTGGCCTTCCTAATGTCTGATACAGCAAGTTGACAGCCCTCTTCCCACATTCCCTTAAATCTCATGTGAGAAGAGGATGGTGGAGGTCCAGTAACAGGACCAGCTACAAGGTTTATGATATTGATAAAATAATTTATCCTGATATTCCCCCAAGTTTAGCAGCTGTGCTGCATACGTTACATGCATTCCATTAAACTGACTGTTTCAGATATTTCCCCCAGTACTTACTTGGGTACAAAGCACTGTCTGGTAGAAACCTAAATGCCATTGTATAGAGAATATCAAACTTTTACAGTGTCTTTGATTTCCTTTTTGTAAAAAACAAGAAGAAGAAGAAGAAATTCAAATACCACATTCCAATAGAACAGCTGTATGCCTTAATTCCCCTCGCTGTTCAACATTACCAATGTATGTAATTTTAATATTATATTTACCTACAATGAACTTGAACAAATACAAAAGAAATTGAAACCTGACGGAGTCCATACAAAACTAATTCATGCAGAGCCAAATTCTGAAGGTCCTGAGTTCTCATTCAGTCCTTTCAATGTGAAACAAAATGAACCAGATTCATTAGGTGCAAATCAGCGGAGCCTTGGTCCTGCACCATTCACATCACTTTGCCACTGACTTGCAGGATCAGTCAGCTCGAGCATACCACTGAATCTAGTCCAGTGTGCCCCTATGTGAGTTCAGATTTTTCAATGTTTGCAGAAATCATAACTCACAGAAAAATATCCTAGTAGCTATTGAGTATAATATTTTCCATTATGAACAGAAAGGCAAGTTCCTTTCCCTTTTTGAGATTGAAAGAGGCCTCAGGGTCCCACTAGTACAAAGGTATTAAACTCATTCTCTGGAGAAAGTGAAATACCATTTTTAATTATGGTCCTTGGGCTGTGGTGTACATTTAGGAGTACACGTTGCCCTCCATCCACAGCACAGATGTCAATGGGATATTTGCACAAATATCAAGTATGGAACATGGCTTTGTATAGTAATTGAACTTTTAGTTGTTATAATTTATTTGTTCAGCACCTTACTGAGCATCATTCAGTGGGAAAATATGCCCGCTTTTATCACTGCTATTTCTGCTCTTTCCCCCCTTTCTTCCTAATCTTCCTATCTCCACGTGAGGGATTATGGGCTTCAAACCCAGCCCCCTAGGTCCCAAGGCAGTGTTCAGACACCACCTCACCCAAACTAGTAGAGAAGGGAGCTAGCAAGCTCTAGCTCACAAAAGGCCCTGCTTAGGAATATTCTGGTTGGCTAGGACACACTACCTAAGCCAGAAAGAAGCATGGGAATTATGTAACTAACTGGGTGAATCACTGGCTGTATGCTTCTATGGACCCAGTCTATTTTCTTGACTCCTGCCTTGTCTTGGTCCTGCATCCTACCTTATTCAGGTCCTTATTTAGGTCCTCTTTATCCCAGACCCCTGTCTGTTACCAGTTTCTCCTTTCCTGTCTTTCTCCAGGTACCTGCTCCTACACCCAACCTCCATTTTGGACTTTAACCATCCATGCCCTTGTCCCTACAGATTGCTTGGACCACTACCAATATCTTCAAGTGGGCCCAGCCAAGAATGGACCCAGCGGAGTTCCCTATACCCCAAGAGGCATCAGCACTTCATGAACAGATGATCTGTCTCCAGGGAGACAGCTGAGAATTGTGGGTCATTCCTGGTTCCTGCTTTCTTACCTTGCTCCAGGTGCCTGCTCATACACCCTACTGTTAATCCAGGCTGTGATCTTTGGCTTGGCACCTGACGTTGACCCCGGTTCTGACTCTAACCATCACACTCACACCCTGATCCCCAAACTGTTTCTTTCCATCTTCCCTCTCTTTGTACGTCGTCTGTTCTTTGCACCAATTCCCATGCTCCATGGGCTTCACTTGCAACCTGTCTTCCATTCCACCTGCCAAAGTGATCATCAGTTAAATAGTTACAGTTGACATTAAAGGATCCTCATCAGACTTTAGAGTTAATAATATCCCAATTATATCAACAACAGAAAGGGAATCCACACCCCTCAAAGCTATTGTTTCTGGCTGGCTGCAAATTCAGGCAAACAACACTACCTGTTCACGTACACTTCATATTTGGAAAGTTCTCTTTGAAACCAAGAGGACAAGAAATTATTTACAATGAAAACTGAGATTCTGCAGAATTTGAAAATGTCATGCTGACCCACCACATGCACATCTAGCAGGTGGAATTTGGGCATTTGACATCTCTGTGATAGAATGTCCAGAGGATTCTTTTACTTTCCTTGTTGATTAACAGCTGGCAGAATATTGCTGCGATAGAAATGTAGAGCAAGGGTCAATTCTCATGCACTTAAAATAAAAAGGTCACAGAATGGTATAATGTTCATGCTTGTCCAGTTACAATTCTTATTTTCACATTTATTTTTCTTATTACAAACGGTTCAGAAATAACAAAAAAAGAAAAAATCATATCACAACTTTGTAAAATATATCAATTTTACCATACAATGTAACTTTCTGGTTACAAAGCCTACATGAACAAAATAAACATGCAGTCATTAAAATGGAATGCCAGTACCAATTGAGGTTGTGTCAGCTAGTATTTACAGGTAAATACATTACCTGAAGAAGTTACATCAGTTTACTAAAACATATTTCTTTGTTATATTAGCTACACCCACCGTGTGGTTGGCAGTGGAATCAAAGCTCAGTCTGCGAATCCAGAAGTAAAAGTGAAAGGAACAGATCCTGTAATAAATCAAATTATTGATAAACTGAAACACATTATCCAGGTAAGATTTTTTGTGTATATTATATGTTAAAGCCATCACCATGTAAATTAAGATAATCTTGGTGCTGAACAAATGTGAATTGCTGTACATTAGAACTGATTTGTTAATTCAAGTCAGAACTCAGTAATTGAGTATTCCCACCAGAAACTGTGTAAGTCCTGGCATAAAATATTTAAACCCCAATTATTAATAATGATTTAGTTAAAATCTTTGCATATGGTAGATGAGAGCTAGAAGTGAGAGTCTGTCAGCTGGGCCATCTGTACCTGTGAGCTGAGATTGCAACTCAGCATTGCAATAAGTGCGGGGATTCTAAGCATGAGTCTGATTCTCAGTTGGAGAATTTTAAGCATGTTAATCACTGTGTAATATCATTAATAAGAAATAATGGTACACATTAAAAAACAAACAAACCACCATCCTGCTAAATTCACCTCTTTCCAGACCTCAAGGTCTGGCTGTGAGATTTTCTACTTTACTGACAGCAGAGAAGGTTGGATATGTTGGGAAATTTGCATAATACTTGCTACAGTATTTGATATGTATGATCTCATAACACATGTTCGGGTAAGCCCTTGAGATTTAAGCTTTTATATGGTGGTTATTTACATTTTGTGAAAGCAGAACTGTGGTGTTGTAATGTGTCCAAAAAATATTGCGGCTATAGAGGTATGCTAAGATTGCCTGAAATGCAGGGAGTTTTGCCACTGACTTTGGGACCAGGATTTCATCCATATTACTCAAGGTTTTGTAGCTGCAGTGGTATAAAGATTCAAGCTCAAATAAAATTAGTCCTTTCTTTCCATTAACAAAAAATTACCCTTTTTCTTGCCAACTGAAGCATGCTGTTATCTCTAGTCTTTTCTATTTTTTTCTTAAAATGGTGTGAAAGTAAGTACTATTTTGCCTCCAAAGGAATGCCAAGAATTAATTAAGCACTACAAATTACTCTCTGATGGAAAAAGATTGCAGACAGTTATGTTTAAGCCTCAAGGCCTTTCATCTGTCAGGAGTGCCCTATTTTGATACTAAATGTGCCCTGTATAGCTTAATGTGTTAGGTTCTACCCTGAGGATCAGTCTGAAGGTCTAAAGTGGTTGGCAGGAACAATTCTATTATAATGCATTATGTTTCCAGTGCTTTCTCTTCCAATACTTGCAAGAGCAGAGCAGATCTTGTATAGAAGGATTTAATAATTTACATAGCACACAGACACTGCCTTTCTGTGAGACATCTTTCTTTTCTTGCAGCTATGAGTATGGAAATAGGGCTGGGGAATAAAGAAAACAGCAAATACTTTGGGGACTCAGGATTACAATATGTAACTATTTTTCACTAGATGAAAAGCCTGATGAACCTGCAGAGAAAGCTTATTCTGTATCATTTACTGTGAATTAGGAAATCAAATATAAAAGACCATCTTTTTGTCCTATGTGATATAAAAAGGATGAGTCACTTTTTGAACTCATTTTGGACCAGCCTGAGAGATTAAACAAGGGAGATTTAATGGACTGGACGGTACCTTCCAGTACAGAAAAGTCAGACCTTTGCATGCTGTAGTCCAGCACTGTTTCCAAGTTATGTTACAACAGTGGAGAAGCCTCATGGACTAATTTAGCATTAAAAACAAAAAAAGATACTTGATCTGGCTTTTAGAACTATGCATATGGAAATGCGTCCGTAAAAGGGATGAGTGTGTATATTTGTCCACCTAATCTAAACACACAACTACTATCATCATCACAATTGTGAACACAAATTGACAGTTTGATGCATAAATTCTCATTTGTGTGTGGAACTATTTCATGTATATCCATGTAGTCGCAATTGTGCATGCAAAAGAGATGCAGTTTTGCATGTTGATTTGTGCGTTATGCAGTTCTGAAAATCAGGCCACTTGCTTTGTATCTTTTGGAAGAAAGGGAATATTTAGAATTTAAGATTGTAAAAGGTCTCCCCTCCTCCACTGGTAATAGCTCACCTTTCCTGGTCACTCTTGTTACAGTGTATATGGTAAACCCATTGTTTCATGTTCTCTGTGTATATAAAATCTCCTCACTATATTTTCCACTGAATGCATCCAATGAAGTGAGCTGTAGCTCACGAAAGCTTATGCTCTAGTAAATTTGTTAGTCTCTAAGGTGCCACAAGTCCTCCTTTTCACTTCACCCTTAAAATCCATAAGGGTCAGAATATTAGTGAGGGTAATAGGGTGACACCACATATTTTTCTCTGCTTTCTCTACCTGATGGGTCAGAGGGTCAGACATGGAAGATATGTTCATTCCTTATGAAGCTTCTGCCATAGCATTTCCATACTGTGTCTAGTTGTTTCTAGTCAAGTCTAAAAGCTAGTCTAAAAGACATGAAGATCATGGCTTGAGTGTGCCATGTACAGTGTTTTATATTTGCCTATCCTATAAGGCCCAGGAGAGCCACTACTAGCAAGACATTCCATTAATAGAAGTCCTGTGTAAACACAACCAAAGAGATCCTGATCTGTGATACACCAGATTTATGTGTAAGATCAGAATCCAGCAGCGTTAGTGCTGCTGGTACTGTTACTGAGGGTATGTCTACACTACGAAATTAGGTCGAATTTATAGAAGTCGCTTTTTTAGAAATCGGTTTTATATATTCGAGTGTGTGTGTCCCCACAGAAAATGCTCTAAGTGCATTAAGTGCATTAACTCGGCAGAGCGCTTCCACAGTACCGAGGCTAGAGTCGACTTCCGGAGCATTGCACTGTGGGTAGCTATCCCACAGTTCCCGCAGTCTCCGCTGCCCATTGGAATTCTGGGTTGAGATCCCAAATCCTGATGGGGCTAAAACATTGTCACGGGTGGTTCTGGGTACATATCATCAGCCCCCCGCTCCCTCCCTCCCCCCGTGAAAGCAAGGGCAGACAATCATTTCGCGCCTTTTTTCCTGAATTACCTGTGCAGACGCCATACCACGGCAAGCATGGAGCCCGCTGAGGTAACCGTCACCCTATGTCTCCTGGGTGCTGGCAGACGCGGTACGGCATTGCTACACAGTAGCAGCAACCCCTTGCCTTGTGGCAGCAGACGGTACAGTACGACTGGTAGCCGTCATCGTCATGTCTGAGGTGCTCCTGGTTGCCTCTGTGAGGTCGATCAGGAGCGCCTGGGCAGACATGGGCGCAGGGACTAAATTTGGAGTGACTTGAGCAGGTCATTCTCTTTAGTCCTGCAGTCAGTCCTATTGAACCGTCTTATGGTGAGCGGGCAGGCGATACGGACTGCTAGCAGTCGCACTGTACCATCTTCTGCCGAGCAGCCATGAGATGTGGATGGCATGCAGTCCTTCTGCACCGTCTGCTGCCAGCCAAAGATGTAAAAGATAGATGGAGTGGATCAAAACAAGAAATAGACCAGATTTGTTTTGTACTCATTTGCTTCCCCCCCTTCCCCTGTCTAGGGGACTCATTCTTCTAGATCACACTGCAGTCACTCACAGAGAAGGTGCAGCGAGGTAAATCTAGCCATGTATCAATCAGAGGCCAGGCTAACCTTCTTGTTCCAATAAGGACAATAACTTAGGTGCACCATTTCTTATTGGAACCCTCCGTGAAGTCCTGCCTGAAATACTCCTTGATGTAAAGCCACCCCCTTTGTTGATTTTAGCTCCCTGAAGCCAACCCTGTAAGCGCCCCTCCCAGCGTCAGAGCAATGGCAAACAATCGGGCATCTGAGAGTGCTGTCCAGAGCAGTCACAATGGAGCACTCTGATGGGGCTAAAACATTGTCGCGGGTGCTTCTGGGTACGTGTCGTCAGGCCCCCGTTCCCTCCCTCCCTCCGTGAAAGCAAGGGCAGACAATCATTTCGCGCCTTTTTTCCTGAGTTACCTGTGCAGACGCCATACCACGGCAAGCATGGAGCCAGCTCAGGTAACCGTCACCCTATGTCTCCTGGGTGCTGGCAGACGCGGTACGGCTTTGCTGCACAGTAGCAGCAACCCATTGCCTTCTGGCAGCAGACGATGCAATACGATTGGTAGTCGTCCTCGTCGTGTCCGAGGTGCTCCTGGCCACGTCGGCTGGGAGCGCCTGGGCAGACATGGGCGCAGGGACTACATTTGGAGTGACTTGACCAGGTCATTCTCTTTAGTCCTGCAGTCAGTCCTATTGAACCGTCTTATGGTGAGCAGGCAGGCGATACGGACTGCTAGCAGTCGTACTGTACCATCTTCTGCCAGGCAGGCAAGAGATGAGGATTGCTAGCAGTCGTATTGTACCATCTTATGCCAGGCAGGCAAGAGATGAAGATGGCTAGCAGTCGTACTGTACCATCTTCTGCCGAGCAGCCATGAGATGTGGATGGCATGCAGTCCTTCTGCACTGTCTGCTGCCAGCCAAAGATGTAAAAGATAGATGGAGTGGGTCAGAACAAGAAATAGACCAGATTTGTTTTGTACTCATTTGCCTCCTCCCCTGTCTAGATCACACTGCAGTCACTCACAGAGAAGGTGCAGCGAGGTAAATCTAGCCATGTATCAATCAGAGGCCAGGCTAACCTCCTTGTTCCAATAACAACGATAACTTAGGTGCACCATTTCTTATTGGAACCCTCCGTGCAGTCCTACCTGAAATACTCCTTGATGTACAGGCACACCCTTTGTTGATTTTAGCTCCCTGAAGCCAACCCTGTAAGCCGTGTCATCATTCGCCCCTCCCTCCGTCAGAGCAACGGCAGACAATCGTTCCGCGCCTTTTTTCTGTGCGGACGCCATACCAAGGCAAGCATGGAGGCCGCTCAGCTCACTTTGGCAATTAGGAGCACATTATCCAGCAGTATATGCAGCACCAGAACATGGCAACGCGATACCGGGCGAGGAGGCGACGTCAGCGCGGTCCCGTGAGTGATCAGGACATGGACACAGATTTCTCTGAAAGCATGGGCCCTGACAATGCATGCATCATGGTGCTAATGGGGCAGGTTCATGCTGTGGAACGCCGATTCTGGGCTCGGGAAACAAGCACAGACTGGTGGGACCGCATAGTGTTGCAGGTCTGGGACGATTCCCAGTGGCTGCAAAACTTTCGCATGCGTAGGGGCACTTTCATGGAACTTTGTGACTTGCTTTCCCCTGCCCTGAAGCGCATGAATACCAAGATGAGAGCAGCCCTCACAGTTGAGAAGCGAGTGGCGATAGCCCTGTGGAAGCTTGCAACGCCAGACAGCTACCGGTCAGTTGGGAATCAATTTGGAGTGGGCAAATCTACTGTGGGGGCTGCTGTGATGCAAGTAGCCCACGCAATCAAAGATCTGCTGATATCAAGGGTAGTGACCCTGGGAAATGTGCAGGTCATAGTGGATGGCTTTGCTGCAATGGGATTCCCTAACTGTGGTGGGGCTATAGACGGAACCCATATCCCTATCTTGGCACCGGAGCACCAAGCCGCCGAATACATAAACCGCAAGGGGTACTTTTCGATAGTGCTGCAAGCTCTGGTGGATCACAAGGGACGTTTCACCAACATCAACGTGGGATGGCCGGGAAAGGTGCATGATGCTCGCATCTTCAGGAACTCTGGTCTGTTTCAAAAGCTGCAGGAAGGGACTTTATTCCCAGACCAGAAAATAACTGTTGGGGATGTTGAAATGCCTATATGTATCCTTGGGGACCCAGCCTACCCCTTAATGCCATGGCTCATGAAGCCGTACACAGGCAGCCTGGACAGTAGTCAGGAGCTGTTCAACTACAGGCTGAGCAAGTGCAGAATGGTGGTAGAATGTGCATTTGGACGTTTAAAGGCGCGCTGGCGCAGTTTACTGACTCGCTTAGACCTCAGCGAAACCAATATTCCCACTGTTATTACTGCTTGCTGTGTGCTCCACAATATCTGTGAGAGTAAGGGGGAGACGTTTATGGCGGGGTGGGAGGTTGAGGCAAATCGCCTGGCTGCTGGTTACGCGCAGCCAGACACCAGGGCAGTTAGAAGAGCACAGGAGGGCGCGGTACGCATCAGAGAAGCTTTGAAAACCAGTTTCATGACTGGCCAGGCTACGGTGTGAAAGTTCTGTTTGTTTCTCCTTGATGAAACCCCCCGCCCCTTGGTTCACTCTACTTCCCTGTAAGCTAACCACCCTCCCCTCCTCCCTTTAATCATTGCTTGCAGAGGCAATAAAGTCATTGCTGCTTCACAGTCATGCATTCTTTATTCATTCATCACACAAATAGGGGGATGACTACCAAGGTAGCCCAGGAGGGGTGGTGGAGGAGGGAAGGAAAATGCCACACAGCACTTTAAGCACAGCACTTTAAAAGTTTACAACTTTAAAATTTATTGAATGACAGCCTTCTTTTTTTTGGGCAATCCTCTGTGGTGGAGTGGCTGGTTGGCCGGAGGCCCCCCCACTGCGTTCTTGGGCGTCTGGGTGTGGAGACTATGGAACTTGGGGAGGAGGGCGGTTGGTTACAGAGGGGCAGCAGTGGCAGTCTGTGCTCCAGCTGCCTTTGCTGCAGCTCAACCATACACTGGAGCATACTGGTTTGGTCCTGCAGCAGCCTCAGCATTGAATCCTGCCTCCTCTCATCACGCTGCCGCCACCTTTGAGCTTCAGCCCTGTCTTCAGCCCGCCACTTCCTCTCTTCAGCCCTCCACCTCTCCTCCCGGTCATTTTGTGCTTTCCTGCACTCTGACATTATTTGCCTGCACGCATTCGTCTGTGCTCTGTCAGTGTGGGAGGACAGCATGAGCTCGGAGAACATTTCATCGCGAGTGCGTTTTTTTTTCTTTCTAAGCTTCACTAGCCTCTGGGAAGGAGAAGATCCTGTGATCATTGAAACACATGCAGCTGGTGGAGAAAAAAAAAGGGACAGCGGTATTTAAAAAGACACATTTTATAAAACAGTCGCTACAGTCTTTCAGGGTAAACCTTGCTGTTAACATTACATACATAGCACATGTGCTTTCGTTACAAGGTGGCATTTTGCCTCCTCCCACCACGTGACTACCCCCTCAACCTTCCCCCCTCCCTGTGGCTAACAGCGGGGAACATTTCTGTTTAGCCACAGGCAAACAGCCCAGCAGGAATGGGCTCCTCTGAGTGTCCCCTGAAGAAAAGCACTCTATTTCAACCAGGTGACCATGAATTATATCTCACTCTCCTGAGGATAACACAGAGAGATAAAGAACGGATTTTGGTTGAATGCCAGCAAACATACACTGCAATGCTTTGTTCTACAGTGATTCCCGAGTACGTGTTACTGGCCTGGAGTGGTAAAGTGTCCTACCATGAAGGACGAAATAAGGCTGCCCTCCCCAGAAACCTTTTGCAAAGGCTTTAGGACTACATCTAGGAGAACCGCAAATGCCAGGGCAAAGTAATCCTTTCACATGCTTGCTTTTAAACCATGTATAGCATTTTAAAAGGTACACTCACCAGAGGTCCCTTCTCCGCCTGCTGGGTCCAGGAGGCAGCCTTGGGTGGGTTCGGGGGGTACTGGCTCCAGGTCTAGGGTGAGAAACAGTTCCTGGCTGTTGGGAAAACCGGTTTCTCCACTTGCTTGCTGTGAGCTATCTACAACCTCCTCCTCCTCATCATCTTCTTCGTCCCCAAAACCTACTTCCGTATTGCCTCCATCTCCATTGAAGGAGTCAAACAACACGGCTGGGGTAGTGGTGGCTGAACCCCCTAAAATGGCATGCAGCTCATCATAGAAGTGGCATGTTTGGGGCTCTGACCCAGAGCGGCTGTTCGCCTCTCTGGTTTTCTGGTAGGCTTGCCTCAGCTCCTTCAGTTTCACGCGGCACTGCTTCGGGTCCCTGTTATGGCCTCTGTCCTTCATGCCCTGGGAGATTTTCAGAAAGGTTTTGGCATTTCGAAAACTGGAACGGAGTTCTGATAGCACGGATTCCTCTCCCCAAACAGCGATCAGATCCCGTACCTCCCGTTCGGTCCATGCTGGAGCTCTTTTGCGATTCTGGGACTCCATCATGGTCATCTGTGCTGATGAGCTCTGCATGGTCACCTGCAGCTTGCCACGCTGGCCAAACAGGAAATGAGATTCAAAAGTTCGCGGTTCTTTTCCTGTCTACCTGGCCAGTGCATCTGAGTTGAGAGCGCTGTCCAGAGCGGTCAGAATGGAGCACTCTGGGATAGCTCCCGGAGGCCAATACCATCGAATTGTGTCCACATTATCCCAAATTCGAGCCGGCAACGTCGATTTAAGCGCTAATCCACTTGTCAGGGGTGGAGTAAGGAAATCGATTTTAAGAGCCCTTTAAGTCGAAATAAAGGGCTTCATTGTGTGGACGGGTGCAGGTTTAAATCGATTTAACGCTGCTAAATTCGACCTAAAGTCCTAGTGTAGACCAGGGCTGAAAGACAAAGCTAAACTGAAACCAATAATGAGGCTATTAGCTGATGAAAGTTCAAAAGATAGGTGGGACTAAAAACAGGACCTATCATATTCCTTAGAGATTTTTTTTTATTATTTATGTTAGCCCCCATACTCCCAATCAGGGTCAGAGCCTCATCATGTACTGTGCTCCGTTCAAAAGTATTGAGAAAGTCACAGGAACATAGGATTTGGCATACTTAGGGTTGGATTAACCCATCTCTGGGCTGTAGGCAACCCCTCACCTCATATTCATACACCCTCAGGACTCTCCAACACTGTCGCCATAGACATGTTGAGTGATTGTGAGTGGGAGGAGATGATCTGTCAGGGCCTTCTCGCTACTTAACCCCTGCTCAATTATTTCCTTTTCTACCGCCAAACAGTCTATCTTCTAACTTCCCAATCCAGATCCAGATCAGAATCCAGAACTGCTGACATTGTGTCATGCTGTCTGGAGTAGCTCACAACTTTGAGTGCCTACCTCAGGGCAGACTGTTAGAAAACAGGGCAGACAGCCCAAGCTGGTGACGTGTTCTATAGTTATAGGTTTCAGAGTAACAGCCGTGTTAGTCTGTATTCGCAAAAAGAAAAGGAGTACTTGTGGCACCTTAGAGACTAACCAGTTTATTTGAGCATAAGCTTTCGTGAGCTACAGCTCACTTCAAATAAATTGGTTAGTCTCTAAGGTGCCACAAGTACTCCTTTTCTTCTATAGTTATATGTCACCAAACCAGTGATAAATGTGAACTCCTGGGTCACTACACCAGTCTTACCATGGAGTCACAGACAGTCCCCTTAGACATTCCAGTCTATCTTGCCACCCAGACAAACTGGACTTTGTTATAAAAGGTCACAAACTGAAGTACACATCAGGTTGCTCCCAGTCCCAAAAGACCAGATCAGTTGATATTCCAGATCTTACACCAAACACAATGCTGGCAGCCAGTTCTACAGTAAACTAATTAAAGATAAAGTATCCTCCCACCTTCTTGTCAACAGTCTAAATGGGCCATCTTGATTATCACTACAAAAGTTTTTTTCTCCTGCTGATAATAGCTCATCTTAACTAATTAGCCTCTCACAGTTTGTATGGTAACTTCCAACTTATCTGTATGTATATTGTGACAAAGTTCCTGCGCTACCTTGGTGGGTCTTGCACTTATTGGCGGATTTGCTCGCCTTGGAGCTTCATGGCAGCCCTCAGCTTGGCCGTTTTTCTGAATTCACAGTCCAGGTCAACTCCTCCTGTGTCTGACCAGGAGTTGGGAGGATCTGGGAGGAACCCGGGCCCGCCCTCTACTCCGGGTTCCAGCCCAGGGCCCTGTGGAATGCAGCTGTCTGGAGTGCCTCCTGGAACAGCTCTGCGAGAGCTACAACTCCCTGGGCTACTTCCCCATGGCCTCCTCCCAGCACCTTCTTTATCCTCACCACAGGACCTTCCTCCTGGGGTCTGATAATGCTTGTACTCCTCAGTCCTACAAGTCCGGGTTCTCACTCTCAGCTCCTAGGGCCTCTTGCTCCCAACTCCTCACACGCACACCACAAACTGGTGTGACCTCCTTTTTAAAACCCAGGTGCCTTGATTAGCCTTCCTTAATTGATTCTAGCAGCTTTTTGATTGGCTGCAGGTGTTCTAATCAGCCTGTCTTAATTGTCTCCAGAAGGTTCCTGATTGTTCTAAAACCTTCCCTGTTGGGAAATGGGACCTCCCTCGCTTGCTCCTCAGCTGTCTGCTTTCTATCTTTCCTAAAGCCCCCTGGCCTGGATTTTTCTTACTTTTCGACCCTGCCTTAGTTCCCCGCCCTCCGAGCGGGCCAGACGCTTTTTTGTTTTGTTTTGTTGCCGTTTTTCTTTGCTGCCGTTTGAGTGCTGGTCGGTTGCCAGTTTGCCGCCAGCACCCCCCCCCCCATGCCTGCTCTTGGGCGCAGCTCTTTGCCTTAGCTGAAACCCCTGGAGGAGGGGGGGAAGATTGCCAACCCACTATCCGGAGGGGGGAGTGAAGCCCCCAGACCCAGCCGTTTTGCTGTCAGCTCGGAATTTCTTCTTCTTATCTCTGCAACATTCGCGGCCTGCCGGAAGCCTTGGTACACAGCCAACAAGCTGGAGAGCAGAGAAATCACCCAGGGAAGCTACAAATCATCGTGGAGGGGGCCGTAAGACTGAGTAATTTTTTTGAATTATACTCTCGTGGGGAGGAGTTTGACTGAGGTTTAATTGCGTTTGTGGCGGCACAGGGGGTGTGGCACGGAGCTGCCCCCCCGATCCATCGGTGCCCCCCACCCAACATTATTACAACTGTCATGGCCCCCCGCCGTCCGTCCCTGCTGGCAAGCTGCCATCTGCCTTTGGATCCAGCTGTTTGCTTTGAACTTTGCCTTTCAGACCAGACATAACAGATGACCAAACGAGACTCTTTGGACAAACATGCGTGGGTCCACACACACACCCGGATTGTTTACTCCACAGCTTGCCCCTATCACCGGATCCCGATTTTTGTTTTTTCCCTCCTTCCAGTCCAACCCATTTGGTACCCCCCCACTCTGCCTGCAGCCCGGCAGGGAGGAGCGGTTAATCTACTTCCCCTCCCCCCTCTTCCTTCTGGTGTCTCCCCGTCTCTCCCGCTCACAATGGCGGGGAATGAGAGGGGCGAGGCCTGTCTAACAACATCAGTTGTCCCTCCCCCACCTACCCCCCTGCCCAACGCCCAAGCCCCCCCCACCACCACCACTGTCAAAACACCTGCCACCGCCCCGCTGGGGCACCGGCAGCAGGAGGCACCGGGGTGATTACTGCCGCTGCTACATCCACCGCCCCCCCAGACTCTAGGAACCCCCCCCAGTTGGCTGGAAAGGCCAGGGCAGGAAGAAAGGAAAGGGACCCGCTAAAACCACTAGGCCCTCCATGGCAGGGGCTCCCCATACCGCTGTGGCCTTGTCATTGACCATGGTGTCCCTCCCTGCTGTTCCCTCCACCAGCTCTGCGAACGTCCCTTCCCCGGCCCCCAGGACGTATGCCCGGGCGATGGCAGGCTCCCCCCTGCCTGCCGCCTCATCATCTCGCCCACCCACTGCCTCCACTACCATCACCAGCGGCCGGGGCCCCTTCCCCACCTTGACCAGGAGGCACAGTGTTCGTTGCCCGCCTCGCCCCACGTGGAGACGTACGTGCAGGCGCTGGCGAAGGTGGTAGGACCCATGGCTATTGTGGCGGCCTCCAAAATGTATGGAAAGGTCGTTTTTTTTCTTAGCTTCGGAGGCTGCCGCCCAGGAGGCGGTGGAGAAGGGCCTGGCGGTGGGGGGGGGGTGTTTGTCCCCCTAGAGCCGCTAGAAGACCTGGGCATTCGCCTCACCTCCATTCCTCCCTTTTTACCCAATGCTGCCCTGTTACCCGCTCTCTCCACCCTGGGGAAACTTGTCTCTGTCATCAGCCCTCTCCCGTTGGGCTTCAAGGACCCCACCCTCTGTCACGTCCTTTTGTTCCGCCGGCAAGTGCAGCTTCTACCGCCGGCGGCGGCGCGTGACGGAGAGGCGCTCGAGGGGTCCTTCCTAGTCCCTTACCAAGGAGCCCGCTATCGGGTCTTTTACTCCACCGGAGAGGCCCGGTGCTACCTCTGCCGCTCAGCGGGACATGTCCGCAGAGACTGCCCTTTGGCCCCGGGGGAGGGGCACCCGAGACCCCCGAGACCCGGCAGGACATCGGCCCCATCGTTGCCGATGCCTCTGGCCGCCCAGCACCTGAAACCAACCCTCCTCCTACTCGACCCACCGCTGCTCCCGTCCAGGCCCAAGAAACACCTTCCCTACAACGCCCAGGCGAGCAAGGGAGTCCCACCCTTGCTATTACCAATCTGGTAGAGCCTATGGAGGAGGGTGTGGCAAAGATACTACCGGGTATAGGAGAGGGCCCGCCCCAAGGAGAACCCCCCGCCCCTCATGCTGCCTCACCATTACCCCCCCCCCCGAACCCCTGAACCATTGCCGCCGCCCCCGACACGAACCCCTGCTAACCAACCCCCAGATGATGCTATGGAGAGCTGGACCCTAGTCCAGGGGAAGCGAGGCAAGCGGAAGCCTCGAGCTCCGCTGCACCCATCCGATACGAAAGCCCCCCGGAAGACCAGGAAGGGAGGTACTGATATTGAGCCTTCCGCTACGGCCACGAGTGAGATCCATCCACTGGTGTTGGGAGGGGAAGACAGACTGGCATTGGAGGGCAGAATCCCCCCTCCACGGGAGACCCTCCCCTCCGAGACCCCTGAGGAAGCTCCTTCTGCCCGGATACCACCAGAACTCCCCGTGAACCCCGAAGCGACTGTTGAGGTGGGCCCTAGAGGAGAGGCCCTCGGGGTAGCAGAAGTTGGCCTCTCCTCCGTGTATGCGGAGATTGAGGCCCTAGATTTGACCCCGGTCACCCAGGGAGAGGATGATCTACTGCCAGCTGGCCTCGATCTAGGCAACCTCACCCCAGCCCCCCTTTCCCCATGCCCCCTCCCCCTAATTGCCTTCCCGGGCAAGCACCCTGCAGAAGGTGGTCCACCACCTGATGCCATGGCCGCCAAGACCACCACGGAGCCAGTGCCTAGCGTCACTGGGAGCTCCCTCCCTTACTCCTTAACCCTCGACTTTGCTCAGGAGGCACCTTCTTTTAGCTGCTCGCCTCCTGAAGCCCAGAGCCTTACCTGTGCCCCTGCCCCCACCCCTGTCCCTGCCCAATTCACCTCCTCC